ATAGTCTAGTAAGGTAATCTTTCACAAGATGATATGTTTCTATACATGATTATGATGCTATACATGTATAGTATGCTTAAAACATTTTTCACATTTTATAAAAACGTTTTATATCAATATTTGTAGCCAAAACAAACATTCTCGTTAACATTTTTCAAATTTATTATTATTATTGACCCAGTGAATCCTCTCCAGTACATGTATCTGCCAATGATCATCACTAAGAACCACCTTATCTAGGGAGCTATCTGAAGCAACACTTTGCCAGTGACCATCGCTAAGCGTCACCTAAACACTACCAAATTCGCTGGCTTTTAACCAGAAGAACCTTGGCACTTATACCGCGAAGGTCTTTGATATTTCACCATGGATCAAGCCAATTATCTCATCCTTAACTATACATGACCTAGATTCACCCTCATTATTCAATTAAAATGTTAATGCTTTAAAGTAATCGATATAACAATGCAAATGTTCAATTCTCATAAAACATGCTCCATGCATCTCCGTTCAATAACGGGTTTTCGTTTCCATAAATTCAACAATTCAATGACGTAATGAATATGAGTCTTCATCATCCTATTGTATTAATGTCTACAACAATACCATTCTCTACCAATGGCCAAATAATTATCTCTAATAATAATATAATTTCACAAATCATATTTATTTGTCTCAATTTTTAATATAACATCATGTGTAACCCAAAATCTATTGCTCCTAGACTTTTATTCAAAACAAATCCACATGAGTATATATGTATATAAGAATATAAACCTTTCCAAACAATCCCACATTTATTAACCAATTCCACATTTTTCCATTCTCACGCGGATAGCCAGTGGGCACCTCAACTCTTCCACATTTGTCTTTCTCACATGGCACGTGGACACCTCAAAAAATTTCCACATTTATCGTCCTTACACGACCGAGTAAATGAGCACCTCAATTTCCCCACGCGAGGTACCAAACACATCACACAACATATCTATTCAACAAACTCCTAAATTTACCTCATCACAAAATGTCTCAACACATCCACACAACATCAATTTATTTTCAATTATCTCTTAAACACCAAAATCCATAGCTAGGGTTTTGTAAAATTTAGACCTTTTCCCCATATTCTCCATCAATCCATGAATCATGGAATCGAGTTGGATTTATTCAAGAATATTCAAATATCGTAGAAATTATTGAGGTAAAACCTCTCTTTTTCATAAATACTCATTAAATCAAATCATCTATCTCATACCATACATATGTTATGAAAACTACCACAAAGTCAAATCAAAATATAGATATACAAGTTTAAAAGTATTCCAACCTCAAAGGTGATGATGAAAAGATGAAAATCCAACTTGACACATCAATAAAAGCACGAATCAATCGGTAGAAATCTTGATCAAAGCTTGTTCTTCAACTCTCTTGAAGGATCTAAGGTAGATTCTTGGTAGAAATGAGAGAAATCAAGTGTTTTTGGGGCTAGGGTTTTAGAAATGGGTGTTAGAGAGGGAGAGGAGAGGAGATGAAAAAGTGAAAGAAAAATGAGTATAAGTCGACTTTTAAATCTGTTGATCTGAACAGACCGCTCGAGCGAATATTTCACCACTCAAGTGGTGAACGCAATGTCTCAGAAGTTTTGCAGGTGTACAGTGAAAATACTAGAAGCCTTGCATCTCTGCTCAAGCAACCACTTGACCGCTCAAGCGGTAACCCTGGACACAACTAGTCACACAACTCAGCTTCTAAGTCATTTCCATCACATCAACCTTATTTCCATATTTAAGTAAACACTTTCATTTAGCCTCTTACATTTATATTTTATTTACTTAAGTTTATAATGTAAATAATGAAATACCCCCCATTTGGATTCAAAGAAAAATACAAAAAAAAATCAAAATCCAATTAAATCAAAAAGTGTTTGCAGAAAAATCTCATAAAATCAATTTAGACTATTTAATATATATGGAATAATTACCGCCAAAAATTATTTTCAAAATTGTAAGTTTTGAAAAGTCTAATTTTCACAATTAGAAAAATTTCAAGCCAAGTCAAATTTTCGATAGCAAACCTTTTTAATACAGCCTCTAATATACGAAAGGGAATAAGGGTCATGTTTCGACCTGAGTTGTTAGAAAAGGCTAAAACAAAAGGCAACTCAATCACAACCGAAAACACCATCACTAGCTTAAAACTAGATCCATATCTTAGATAAATTACTGGATCCCGATTTAAAATCTTGAGGCCCCAAAGACACGTGAACAACAAAACTCAAGAAAAGGTCGCAAATACCTCCTTGACCCACAAAACCCGTTGAGATCTATGAGATACGAATAACAACAATAACCACTAATCGCACGCGCCTCCAAAGACATCAACCATGCCTCAATCACCAACAACATGCACAACACCACCGAGTGCTCAACACTTGAACATGGAGGAAAACCCTCACAACATAATTCTCGGTCACCTCTCATAGAGGGAGAGGGCTTACAACAAAACACGATCAAAAAACCACACTCTGGCTTGACAAGCCCCCAAAAACGCCAATCATCCCGCAAAACCAAACATAGAGACCCATGATTAGTAATCCAAGTAAAGTTACTACACAACCCACTCATGAAAGGTTCAAGAATTAACAATACAACTTTGTTAAAAGAATTTTTTTCTCATTTTCTCAATTCTTTGAAAATCATACTCTCGTATATAAAATATTTCTCAAAGGTGCTTAAACTTGCACCGCCCACCACCCAAATACATTTCTTGTCTTTCAGGCAAAACTATTTAGTGAAATCCTTCATTGCAGTTTAGATAAAATCCACAATATTAGCCATCCAAGGCCATAACACTAGAAAAAATTCATTTTTCCAAATTATGCTCAACATAACAATCGGTGAATCTCTACCGTCACCCAACAACACCTATCACTCTTACCGTGATGCCATAACAAACACGTATGCAACATTTCTATAAAAACAATTAATAGAAATAACTAATGTACTACTAACACAACAAAAGACAAGAAAATTCACCATCTTGAAATTCCATTCCATCATAATCGTTAACACCATTATCACCCACACGAGACACAATGCACACGCAACATGATGAGCTCCCAATACGTTACTCCAACCCATGGAGTTCTACTAACTCAAGGCAAACTCCATACAAGCTTTACAACTACTAACATGAGACTCCACGTTCGCCAAACCACCGTAAGGCACTTAAAATTTGGTTGGCAACTAACGCCCACATATTTCACGATTGAGTTTTCAAAATATTTAAGAGTGAATAACACTTTCAAAAATATTCCTTGCTCTTTTATGTAAAATTTTTATAAGAAGTGTTTAGATTCAAACCGAGCATCAATAGAAGAAATATATATATTGAAAACGTTTAAGTCTCTACTTCTCATATGGCTTGATACATCTCTATATAACTATTCTTCTTTTACTCTTTGGCACATTCCTAACAATAAAATGGTTATAAGTCTATACTTCTCATCCCTATGTTCAAGATAAAATAAAATAAAATAAAATAATTTAAAAGTGTTACATGCTAAATAGGAATTAATGCCATCTCAACCAACTCAACAAAATACAATCCGTCAAATAAAGGGTATAAAAGTGTATCGAGACATCCATACAAGTGGGTTCAAAGGGTTTAAGACCCGAGACACTACAATGGAGATGGTGAAGAGTTGCGAGAGCGAGAAAAAGCTGTAGAAGACGCAATCAACGATTCGAATCAAATCACTACTACATATAACACTGGGCAAAATTGTCTAAAAACAATATAGTTTCAACAATGTTTGTTCTGCATGACGAAGAGCCATATGTTTGGAGTTCACAAAGTAACAAAATATTATGTGTCCTTTTCGCAAGATACAATTTTAAGGAGGGATTTTTGGCCAAAAAACCCAATTTTTTGAACATTAAATTTATATTACAATAATATCGTAAAATAAAATGACTATTAAGGACAATGATGGTATGCTTTCTACCAATTCAAAGAAAATTTGCACTTAATGACACAAAACTATTTGCTTACCATCACTTATAGACACATATCATATTTATTTATTATCTTCCAACACATCATCTTTTCCATTATCAATTAGTTCAACTCATTCTCTTCTCCATTATACTTCTTCTCTGAACTCAAAAACATTGTTGTCTTCGAAAATTTAGATTTTAAAAAATCAATTGATTTTAAAGATTTATACACCATGAATGGTACTCAAATTATTGTTTTGGAACAATGGCAACAACAAAAAGTTCAATTTATTACTTATAATGATTTTTCGTTTCTTTTTGTTTTTTTCCGTTTTGTATAGTCATTGGGTGATAGTTTCATTCGTTACTTGTTTTGATAATCAGAATTGAACATTTACATAATATTCAACTATTTATATATGAACAAAACATATTTTGTTCATTCAGATAAAAAAATTGAACTTTTATCCTTTGTTTGGATATAAATTTTTGGACATGTTAATTTTGTTGAACTCTATATTGCTAAATAGCTCTAGAACTTTCATTGTTAAAATTCTTGCAGAATTATGAATCCACCCATTTAAAATACTTATTTCAATTTTCAAGTACAAAAACCTCATTTTGAGAATTGGCCTAAAGCCCTTGACAGTCATGGCCCATCATTGATTTCAGGATGTAAATATACATTATATATACCTTAATACATGCATATACATAAATTTACAAACACATTATATATACCTTGACAGTCATGGCCCATCATTTATTTATATACTGAAATAATTATATTCCAAAAACATAATTTGGCATAACTTAGAATTGTAATAAAAAAACGTCACAATTTGGTGGTTGCAGAGAAATAAATGGAGGTGAATAGAAACACCACAATTTTATTATTATTATTATAAACACTAGCTTAAGCAAGGTGAATAGAAACACCACAATTTTATTATTATTATTATAAACACTAGCTTAAGCAAGAGCATTCAAGCAATCAACAGAGAACTCAAATAATTAAATTTCCTATTATAGCCTCGTGTTAAATACACCAATCCTTTACATTGAAGTTAGCATATACATATACATATATATATATATATATATAGATAAATATATATCCACAAGCTAAATACAACATGCTGTCTGTTAACATTAACATTGCAGCTAGCTACTAACTTCCACAACTGTACCAAGTTTCATACTCAGCTACATAACAAGACATATAAATAGAAGTGGTAGTTTAAAGATTATAAGAAAAATTCTCTCTATCATACTCTTCAACTAGAAAGGAATTGCTGCTTGCAACTAAAGTGACACGTCACACCACGCCCCCCACCTCACACCAATGATGAGTTTTCCCTGCCTTGAAGTTCATAAAGCATAAGGAGTGCTGCAGAGTCAAAAGAACTCTTTTTATCCGCTCTTTGGTCACCACTTAGTTCAATGACACCAGAGTCAGGTATGGTCAAGGTTATTGTAGATGCATAACTGTTAAAACCTGTCCTCCTTTCAGATCCTTCACAAAATTCAATGGGAGTTCTGTGCAAAAGCATCATCAGTTAAAAGTCAAAATTCAAACTGTTGTAACTAATTAAAAATGAATGACAAGCATAAATTTGTGGGGCGGACGAACCTTGATTTGTTCTCTGTTGATTTAAAGGTAGGCATGGGCCACTGCAGTCTCTTGCAAAGGTCATAAAGGGCTGTTCGAGGTCCTCCTTTCTTCATGTTAATTGATGAAAGAACTGTCCCCAAAAAATAGTTAAGTCATTAAAATTAACAGAGAAAAACCAACACTCCAGCACCATTTTTAGAAGTGAAATTTAAGAGACATGGAAGAGCAAGGAACATCTCTAATTCAAATAAAGAAAAGGAAAGTACAAAAATTTATAGTGAAACCTAGCAGTAACCTCTTTAATAATTGATTCATTTATTTATTTTGTAGAGTGAGAAAAAAGCTTCAAAAGAACAAGAATAGGAATGATACCAGATTTGATGCAGAGCAAAAATAACAGAGTGAGTTTGTACTCGGTGAGTGCAGACCAAAAATAACTATACAGAATGATACCAGATTTGATGCAGGATAAGGAAAATAGTCGTCATTTCCTAAGGTAGTAAAGAAATTTATTTGATTTTCTTTACATGTTGAATTAGTATATTGAGAAAAAAGCTTCTTGAAAATTTTTAGTATATTTTATAGCATTCTAATTGGGAATGAATGGAATCTAGGAGGCATTAGAGGTGCAACTTTGGAAGGCCCAACTCAAGCAACACGTGTTGAGCTCAAAAAAATTTAGGGCTTGGAAAATATATTTCAAACTTGGTCAGTGCCTAGCTAAAATTTGAACAAGGCTTGGGCACGGTTCTCACAACCTGACTAACCCAAATCATATTGGTAGCATATATAGATTATATATAATAAACATGAAATTAACCCCAAGGGGTTGGATTGGTGGCCAATCACTTGGCCCTTGGTGCCTCGTGAAGCATAAGGTCTAACGTTCGACTCCTATTGAGTGCTATCAATCACTTCGCCCTTGGTGCCTTGTGAAGCATCAAGTCAAAGATTCGACTCCCATTGACTGCTTATGCTCATGGGCATAGCCCGAGATTTGCCTGACATGTGTGGAGGGGATGCTTTGCATGGGTCTTGGGATTAGTCAGGGTCTACGCTGATACCAAAATATCAATAAATAAATAAGTAAATTGATATCCAATTATCAACTGTATATATATATATATATTATAGACTGATTATATTCAAAGAGCACAGACCGGCCACAAAGCTTGGATATAGTTTCTCATCGAAGATCCATGGATCATAGACCGTTATCTCCCCATGATGTTTCGCATTTCTGACCGTTCGGATTAAATCATATTGCATTGTAATATATTACTACTTGGTGTTTGTGTACATAAACAAAATTTCTTATTATATTTCATTTGTATTTTTTAACCTACTTTTTATTTTTTGTTTTAAAAAGTGCTATACATTAGTTTAGGACAACTAAAAATAAATTGTCTTTGAATTTGGGCAATCCAAGCCTAGCCCAAATTATTGGAATTAAACTTGGACTCAGGCTTGAGCAAACAAGTTCGGGAAGAGGTTGATGTCGACCAAAGGAAAAGAAAGTTTGTGAAGACATTTTTTTTTTTTTTTGGGTACATCGAAAAGGAAGTGAAGACATTTTTAAATAGGAAATTATGAGCTTAGATGAGAGTAAAATCAATCAAACCCCTCTTTAAGTTGAATTTAAATTTGAGTTTGTTCTAATTTTTAAAAATTTAGAGTACATTGATATGGAAGCTATTTGTATAGTAAGGCGATAAATGAAAAAATATAGAGAAAAGAACAGAGTCCTTCATATAGTGTATTGACTTAGGAAAGGCATATGATAGGGTTCCTAAAGAAATAACGTGAGGAGTTTTGAAAAGTAAGAGAGTATCAGTTTGATTTATTGATATAACTAAAGAAATATATGATGGGGCGTGATTAGTGTGAGAACTGTAATGGGCGAAACAAGTGATTTTTTAACACCAATAAATAGGTTTACATCAAGGCTCATCACTAAGTCCTTAACTATTAGCATTAGTCGTGGATGAAACATTCAAGAGGATATCTACTAGTGTGCGTTATTTGTAGATGACATGGTTTCTAGTAGATGAAACAATAGTTATTGAGAGATACTTTAGAATTTAAAGGATTTAGGTTAATTAGGATTAAGGCGCAAAATATGAAATATGACTTTAGCAAAAATAAAAACAGAGATGAAGGTAGAGTAAAACTTGAAGGGCATGAAATACTTAAGAGCGACTACTTTTGATATTTTGATTCAACTATTCATAAACGAGATTGAGGACGTGACCTATAAAATTAGGATGAGATGGATGAAATGGAGGAGTGCAACATGTATCAGGAGTCTTGTGTGATCGTAAAATTCCTAGTAAGTTGAACTGAAAATTTTATTAGGATTGTTATAAGACCTACTATGATGTATGGTATTGAATTTTGAACAGTTCTGTTTGTTAACTTCACCTCTACAGGTTTCTGTTTATATTAGCAGAATTTTTAAGGAATTGTAAATAAAAACTCGTTTGGTATCTATTTTCATTTTAAAAAAGTCATAAACAATTTGCAAAATTTGAAAAGTTGGTTTTAGTTGATTATTTATTTATTAATTTTTGTGCATTTCTTCCTCTTTCTCCCCACCCCTTCGATCACCATGCACTACTCATCATCATCACTGGCCACCATTGCCAATGAACTCTAAAAATTCTGTTTATATTAGCAGAATTTTTAAGGAATTGTAAATAAAAACTCGTTTGGTATCTATTTTCGTTTTCAAAAAGTTATAAACAATTTGCAAAATTTTAAAAGTTGGTTTTAGTTGATTATTTGTTTATTAATTTTTGTGCATTTCCTCCTTTTTCTCCCACCCCTTCGACCACCATGCACTACTCATCATCACCATTGGCCACCATTGCCAATGACCTCTAAAAGTCACCTCCGTCAGCAACCACCACCCACCATAGTCAACCACTTCTCACCTTCCACCACCACCTCAGGCAACCGGCCAGCCACCATCTCCGATCGTCAGCAACTAGTTTTGACCACCATCTCCGATCGTCAGCAACTAGTTTTGACCACCATCTCCGATCGTCAGCAACTAGTTTTGACCACCATCTCCGATCGTCAGCAACTAGTTTTGACCACCATCTCCGATCGTCAGCAACTAGTTTTGACCACCGAGGTGGTAGTGGTGTAGTGGGTTAGGTTTAGTGGGTGAAGTAGGTGATAGGTTTTAATAGCCACCATTGCCAATGACCTCTAAAAGTCACCTCCGTCAGCAACCACCACCCACCATAGTCAACCACTTCTCACCTTCCACTACCACCTCAGGCAACCGGCTAGCCACCATCTCCAATCGTCAACAACTAGTTTTGACCACCATCTCATGTGGCTGGCAACCGCCACCAACCACTGCCAACCACCTCCCATCAATATAAACCACCTTCAGCAGCCGACAACCACTTCTAGTCACCATCTCCAACCGTTGCCAACCACCTCTCGCGGGCCACCCGTCACTTGTTTTCAAAACATATAATTAAAACACGAGTGTACCAAACATGTTTTCTATTTATGTTTCTACCAAAAATAAACATAAACATGTTCAATATATACTTTAAAATTGTTGTACATTCTTTACAACACACTTTTAATTAGGAACAACACAAACATAAACCAACATGACATGACGTCCACCCCTAACTTTTGATTGTACCTTGTGCTTAATTTGTTGTACCCAATAGTTCTCTTATTAAATTTCTCCTTATTTACAGCTAGTCCATGAGAAATGTCTAATATACCATATGTTTTTCCTTTACTTTTTGCTTTTAAATTAAGAACCAAGTAAGGGGAAAAAAGAGAGATTAAAATTTCCCTTCTTCTATTCCCAACTACCAACAAAGGATAAGAGAAGGGAATGCTTCGTATACTTTCAGAACTACATATAATATATATAAACACTATTAAGCAAGAAAAATCAGATACATGGACAATGTAGGAAAATCAGATCCATTTCATACTAATGCAGGAAAATGTGACATATATGTGATATACATAAAGATTTTTAGAAAAGAGCCAAACTAATAGAACATAATTTCTTTAACAAAATATAAATATAACCATTACAAAGAAATGTGACACTTATGTTTATGTAAACTTTGAAAACTGAAAAAAAAAACTCGTTTGGTATTTATTTTCATTTTCAAAAGTTGTAAACAGTTAACAAAATTTACTAGTAAATTCTTGTACTAAAAAAATGGTTTCATTTGTTTTAAAAGCAAGTTTTCATTCCTTTCTCCCTCTCCCACCCCATCTGGCCACCACCCACTGTTGGCCACAATACATCTTCGATCCATTGCTGGCAACCTCCTCCTATTGGAAACCACCTCCAACCACCACCTTTGGAGGTCGGCAACCACCTCCAGCTTGCAGCAACTCAAACACCACTTCCTATTGCCAACAACCACCTCTGATAGTTAGCTACCACCACCTGTTAGCCAGCTCCTCTCACTTGAATTCAAAACAAGTTTTCGAACATGTACAAAACATGTTATTTTGCTTTTGCATTTGTTTAAAAAAAAAGGTCCAATATTTTTTTTGCAAACAAAAACATATTAAATTATAAACATTGCCAAACGTTGCCTTAACATTTAGTTTAAAGTTTAAACATGTTGAAAAAATGCCTCAGATTAAATCAAAGTATAAATAAATAAATTAAAATTAATACAAAATGGATAAGTTGGAAATTGAAAAATGCGCATAATAAGAATAAGATGACCAATACATGAACTTGAAACCATTACTCCATTAAAGCATAGTAATGCCCTTTCTGTAGTTGCTTTACTGAATCACTCCAGTTCAAACTAATGCAGTAAAATGTGAAATATATATGCTATATATGAAGTTTTTTCCAGAAAAGACCCAATCTAATTAAACATAATTTCATTCACATATGATATACAATATAAGTATTAATATGTTGAAAAATAGCCAAATATTAAAATGAAATAGAAACAAATAAATTAATAGTAATACAAAAAGGTTGAGTTGAAATTGGTGAGACTAATAAGAATATAATATACATAAGGGGATAAATGGAAAACAACTATAACAATCAGGGGATGAGGGACATTTACGCAAATAGGTCATGCAATATGAAAAGTTCAGAATTAGATATTA